AATATAACGTTGTTCGCACAAACGTATCATTATCGGGCTGAATCAATATTTGATGATGTAGGTAAACTGTGTGTAACGACTAACAATGTCGGCTGTATAAAGACTAAAGAGACGCCCTAGGGCCCCAACAGTGCAGAGTTATCGATTGGCATTTTATGCGGTATACGTTTATAACCACGACTGGCCTACGCGCACCGTGACTAGTATCTAATATAATATACTAACGCGTAATGCAACTATTCCGCCAAACGGTCTTTAAATAATCAATACATAATAAGCAGATTTGTTTGCCATGCATCCTACGGGGAGTTGAAATAACGACGTTTTCAATAAATTGGTTTTGTCCGCTGTAATTTATTTATTTCCGATCCGGGAGAGACGCTACGCTCAAAATATTACAGCGAACATGCTTGTACGTAAATTATTATTACAACGAAACGTGTCAAAAGCGTACTGACATATTATTTATATTTTGCTCGGTAAAAATTGATTAAACTAAAGACATCAAGACTTAAGCCAAAACGTCACATAATGTGTAATTTCGTAATGTTTCGGATTTAAACTCTATAATGGAGAATACTCAAAAATATTTATTAAAACGTATGAGTTTTGCACTTGGAGAGAACACTGCACGCCATATAGGTATCGATTCTAGCCATACATATATCATATAAAATAAATTACGTTGTCGTGGCTTAATGTATTAATCTTGAATGTGTGTTATGCTACAATGTCAAATATAATACATTTATTCCTATATACGTACGAATGGCAGACATATAAATCTACCGGGCAAGATTTATCTGATTCACGATTAATAAACTTTGTCATTATTAGCATGTCGGTTGTATACTGTATAGGTATAATCTAAAACCAATATACACGAACGAACAATTCAACGAATTATAATTATAAAAAATATGTTATAAGCGAATAACCCATGACCCGAGGTTACTCTGTGTGTAGTCTAAAATTGACGGTGTTATGCAACATTTAGCTGTAAGTTACCTACGTGACAATTAATCGTATTAATATACTCTACAAAGTCCTTATCATACTAAATAAACATAACTTAAAAATTGGTCACAAGCATTTATATTTGAAAGGAAAAAAATGGTTTTATATAGAAGACAATTATTATAGATACTGAATAATTATAATCAGGTTTCTATTCAATCAATCAGTGTAATATGAATGCGTATTAATTGTGCTTCAGTGAAAATGATCAAAAAAGATTTACGAAAAAAAATTGTATTTAAATACAAAACAAGAGGCGAGTTTGAATAAATAAAGTGCTAATAATATATTAATACTGAACGCCAAACAATAATATTATACTATATATTTCGATTTTCGATTTACTTTATTAATATATGTAATTCAATTTTAATTAAAAATACCTTCTTACATTTTTAACGATGACATTATTTTACAGTATATTACAAAAATAAGATAATATATTATGTTTAAAACTAATTGATTTCATTTTTATTAGACATAGTATGAACTGCATATTTGAAACTTTTAAAAATAAATTCCTGAATATTTTATTCAACAAAATATAGTGACTTTTTATAATCAATTAAAGTATTTTGATTTTATAATGTTGTAAGAACATAGTAATATTATGTAATATGATTTTCAATTTATCGGAATACAAACAATTTCAGATGCATAAATAATGTTTATATTTCCGAAGTTTTTGATACAATCCATTATTATTTAACATTATATTATAATATATGATTAGAAAATAGTGACCAAACCAGTTAAGAAAAAATGCCATTATGATTTCGTAGTTTTAAATTATTATAACCCGTAGTTTTAAAAACTAGGAATTTGTTTGCAGTTTTTAAATAATTTATAGAATAAGTTGTTGCATAGATAAAGTTAAAAATAAAAAGTTTTAAAATCTGTCTGAGAAAAATTATTTTTTATTTTCATATGAATTTAATGAATATAAGTAATATTATATATAATATACAGTAGTTTATATGAATTAAATTTCAATACTTGATATTAACTAATAGATTGAGTGTATGCCAATTTCATGTAATAAATTATATGCATTGTGTATGACAATAGACGAAATTACAAATTAGGTAACCATCAAAATAAAAATTCTTAGTTTAACGATGTACGCTGAAGCCTGGAAACAATTAATTATATGATTTTGACATTTGTTCAATAAAAACATCAAAAACGTATTAATAGCGAATTTAAGTAACTGTAAGGCATATTTAGGATAAGTGGATATTAAAACAATAAAAACACATATTGTGCAATGTATGTATATCATTATCAAAATTATAAGGAAAGATAGTTTAAGAAGGTTACCTAGATGTCACACCTTGATTACGACCTAGATCAATGTTACATTCGTTTGCATCTTCAATTACGACTCAATAATTTATTACTATCATGTCATTATTGAATACATTATAAACGTCGATGATAAACAATATTATTCTTTATAATCCGATAGGTACCAGTGTTAATTTATAAACGAGTTTTTAAACAAAAAAATTAATCTTTAGCTTAACATTATACGCTAATGTATTCATATTACTTTTCACACAAACATATTCTTCAATAAATATAGTTACTACCTGTTACATCATTATCTATTGAAGAATTTTTACTTAGATAAACGATAGATTAGGATGTTAAAACCTGTAATATTATATAGGTATATCATAAATTAAAATATAGTCATTCTTAATAATTCATACTCCCTACACTAGTACCTACCTATATTATACTAACATAAATTATAATAATCATTTAGTACCTATATTTAAAATTGTATTTTATTTAATTAAAGTATTTTTTAATAAATTTATCATTTAAAAGAAAAATTATAATGCATATACGATTAACAGAACCTGCAAGATGATTATACCCGACTTCAGACAATATCCGATGGTAGGTAAATAATAATCCTTGCTTGAATAATAACGTAATTTTTTTTTCAATATATAGGTAATAGTTTTAATGTAAAAGTTGTAAATTTTAAGAATAGTTTATGTTATAACGTAAGTGCAAATAATAATAAGTTAATAAAATAATTACATAATTATGTAATAACCTATACATGTATAATTAATTAAAATACGATATATTATACTAATTGCTTAATAAAAATGAATCGAACAAATAAACCATGAATAATAAAATGCAAAATACGAGGTATGTATCTAATATCTATACAAAAAATTATTCAAATTAATATCAAAAAAAAAAGCAAATTTAATATTATTAAATGTATACCTTCATTATTTCTTGTAACTAAATTTTCTTATGTGTGAAACAATACGTTTAAAACCAACGAAACTTTATTCATTTTTTTTTTCAAACAATTTTACGTCTTTCTTTTCCGTTTTTCTCACTGTATAAAATATTATACAAACATGTCGAATTATAGGCATATTTTTACGAAAGAAAATAGTTAAACGCGGTCGTAGTACTATTTTGTTGATCCGTGTTATTTGCACTGGCCACTGGTTTATTTGACCATAATATTATAGTTATCAATTTACATATGGCAGAAATACCTATCTTAAATTACATGACTAAACTGAACAACAACTTTATCTAAGCGATTGTCTATAGTCTATTTGTGTAAATTCTCAAATACCTAAATTGTGTTACCATATATGTATTATAAGCCACTGGCATTAGTCACACATAAATTAAAAACATTTATAAGATAATACATATAAATTGTCTACTTTTTTGTTTTGTTCAATTTTTATAACAAATATAATATTGTATGGATACACTTGCGCTGATCTGTATTAACTGACAGTATACAAAATAACCAAACATTGATGTTTAAAAATAGGTTACCAATGTTGTGGTTTTTTTTTTATGTTTGCAATATTAGTGTGCAATATGCCAACGAAATAATTTGATTAGTTATAACTTATAAGTTTATATTTATTACTTTAAGTTTGGTGAAGTGGAATCGAAAATTGAGTTAAAACCTTCCATGGATGTACAACTATAGTTAAGTAAGTTATTAAACTATGTCTTTTTCATTAAAGAATATTATTCTAAGTGTAAACTTTAAACTTTAAAACATTTCAAAATATTTTTTTGTGGTTCAGACATTTTAAAAGATTGATATACAGATATCAATAGATGATAATCGTCATAAAATTAAAACTGTATTAAAACTACAGTAGGTATATTATGTTAATTATAATATGGAATTTAATTTTACAAATATAATTTAATAGGTATATCGAAGATCATCTTTATTATTTGATACGTATTATATATAGCTAATTAAATCAATATTTTTGGTAGGTACTTTTAAATCTGTTATAAACAGATAATCCTAAATAAAGTAAGATTAATGGTTTTTAATTTAAAGATTGTAAAATATTAATTAAGAAGGTTTTAGTATTTTATATGATTAAAAAAAAAAACTTTTTAGTTAAATAATATAATATATACCTGTATAATTTACATATAATTTTACCATAGTATGTACCTGATATATGAATCATAAATTGTGTGTAACGACAAGTTTAAAAATGATTATAATTATTTGTAAAATCAGACACCTAAATAACTAGGTATAAAATAATATTATTAAGTATACCACCTAGGTACCTAGATGATATATTTTATAATCCCATATTTTAATAACTCGTATATTTATTAGTAAAATCGAGTATATAACGACAAAAACCAATAAAAGTAAAAAATACCATAACAAACTATAAATCTTTAAATTATGAAAAATAAAAATTCGTACCTAACAATAAATCGGTTTGTAACGTCGAAATAGTCAAAAATATCATCGACTATTTAAAACGAAAAACAAATCCATTTAATGTTCTAACAATATAAGTGCAATCCGTTAAAAAAAAACTTAATTTTCTTTATGCCGTTCTAATATGGTTTTTTCAAAATCTCTGAACGATAAATCTTCCAATCAGGTACACTATATATAAAACTACTCGACAATAATAGTATACATAGGTACTCACGTTTGTACGCGGTCTCGGAAACATCTTGCCGTTCCGTTGCAGGCGCATCGCGTCCGGATGCTCGTATGGGTTATCCTGCTGGAACCCGAACGACCGGAGCTATGTTGCGTTCGCGTGCGTGAATGTGTATATTTTTATTGTAAATGTTATGTGCGAGACGACGCGGCAGACGAGAGTGAACGTGTACCTCAGTGTGTGTGTGGGTATGTGCGATAACAATCGCGGGTGCGTTGTTTGCGGACTGGTTTGTTCCGGCGTAAAGAGTACGAACCGTTGGTGTTTCGGTCTTATATATAGCGAAAGCCGGACCGGTCTGCACCGGGAGACTTTAACGCCGCCGCCGCGGCCAAAACGAAGATGACGACGACGGCGGCGGTGGTAGGTACGAGCGAAACGAAAAAAAAAATCATACGATAAAAACCGTATTACGTATGAGCCCGGGGTCCAGCGGTCAAGGTCCCGCGGATGCCGCGTTTGACCCCGGACACGGATTATTTTTTCTTCACGATCGGTGGAAACTGGAAATCCCATATCAAGTCGAATGCGATTATTATAATATAATATTTTATACGGGCCCGCGTGTGCCGTGCAACACATTTTATGCATAATATTATATAATATACCAATGTAGTTGGACCTACATTACATTGGCTACCTATATTATAATATTATGACAAAATAACGCCAAAAATATAAAAATACATATAATTTGCCACAAAAATCTATAGTTTTGTTCATTAAATAATAAACACTTAAAACACTTTTATTATTTTGTAAAATTAATTTTCACTACATGCCTACAATAAAGATTACCCGATAATGTTATGACACAAAAACTTTATCGTATTCATCATAATATACATTAATTGTCGATTCAGATTACATTATATACGTTTGGCTTTTTTAACGATATACGTCTATAGTTCTAAATTTTATATCTGGGATGAAGCACACGGGTGCCAGAGATTTTGGTGCTTGTGTTTGATAAATTAAATTTTTTTCTTATCTCGTTTTAGCGTAAAGTCGTTCACTAATTATATTGTGTCTGCACTCACACAGACATACAGTCACATTCTGTTACCAGTTGTGGTGTGCAAAATGCAATCGTTATAAATTACTATAGTTCTTTGTTTATATACCTATATACTTAATACTTATACATAATATTATTATGTGCAATTACATAAATCGTCTGTAACAATTTATTGAACTCGCCGCTAGACTATGCGTTTATGTGTGCCAAAAAACATCTTTCAATATTGTTTTCTCCGATAAAAATGATTACTACAATATTATACTGTGTTGCGGTTGTATAAATGCGTGGGCAGAATAATAAGATTTTGTGTTTCTATAGGCATTTTTAGATGCTCGTCTCTCCGAAATAAGTGTTGGATTGTACTTATATATCTAACTATATACGTGGTACCTATGATATGGACTAGACTATCATGGGAGTGCAATATTAATAATAATTATCGTAATTAATCGTCTTGTTCGAATAATGTTTTTGAGCACACATTTATGGTTGAATTATTTATTCATAAAACTATAAGCATTCTTAAAAGTCTATAAATAATAATATTTTGTAATACGAATACGTCGTGTTTAGTTATTGCTATAATGAAACAAAGAAATTGCATTTTAAATATTTTAACACAAAATCACGATTTATATCACGTCATATTAAAGGTAAAAATAAAGAACATCATAATAGCTGGTACCTATATAGTATATAAATTAATTGATTTCACTAAAATTTAAATATTCAATACTCTCAAAACAATTTAAAGCACGATTTTCAAGATTTTTTGAATAATCAAATATTTAAAAATATTATTACCATACGACTATTAACCTTATATTAAAATTTCAAATTTATTTCCACAGATAGCGAATATATTTTCAAATATAATATTGGTTAAATACTACTCATCCAAATATCTTTGAAAATTAAATCACAGCCTCAACATTTTAACTAAAGACATTTTAAGAAAATACTAAAGATAATAAGAGAATATATTTTACTATATACAGGCCACAGGGTAATTCACCAAGCATGCTCACCGCCGTTTTCTTCAATAATGCAGTTATTTAAAAACTGATTTTTGGAATTTTTAAATATAGGTGCTTAAAAACTAAATTTTAAAATTCTTGAGATTTTCACGTACTTCTTAACGAATGTCTTATGGATATAAATTCTTCTGATTTTTTCGAATGATAACCCCTATTTTTCACTGTAAATTATTTAGAGGATTCTTTTTCTGAACATTCTAACGTATCAGATTCAAAAATTCGAACCTATAGTTTGTAGTAGTTTTTAGTTATTTGACTTTAATTATTAAGAAGTAAGGATAAAGGGTTTTCGAATATATGGAGGCTTTGGTGGTTTGAAATTAATATTGATCTATCAACAGACAACATTAATAATTTGTAAAATTTGTCCAATTATAATAAAATATAATAGATCCAATATTACATTTTCTTTATATTTTTGTAAAACCATTTTTAAAGACTTTTATCATTATAGTTAGTATAAACATTTTAATAACTGAGAAACAACTCGTTTGTATTTTGAATTAGTTACATCAACATTTTCAAAATAATTTAGTTTTAGGGTTCTCATTTGAAAAATAGAAATTTGTATTAAAACGAGACTCCTGAGACTCTTTAAGAAGAAAGAATTATCAAGAATTTTAAAATATGGTCTTTAAATATACTAGTTGATTCACCAAGCATGGTCACCCCCATTATTTCCTTCATTCAATAATACATAGTTATTCAAAATTTAACTTTTGGAAATTTTTAATACCAATACTCAAAGAACATAATATTTTCAAATTCTTGAATTTTTTTGTACTACTTAAGGAGTGTCTTGTAAAAACTGTTTTTCAAATGAGAGCTCCCCTTTTTTACTGTAAATTATTTAGTGGATTAATCTAATTAAACATTTGAATTTGTAGTTTCTTAGTTATTAAAAAGTTTGTAATAAAGATAATAATATAGTCCTTAAAAAAAGGTGCTCTCCTGTACAGTAGGTTCCAAGTGGGTCACTGTATAATGGATGGTATTAAATTTGAATTCAATGATATAATATCATTGTATGAGAAAAACGATTCTGAGCGGAGACGGTATGTCAGTCTAGGTATAAGACATATTATATACTTATCTATGGTATTAAAAAAAAATTACCTATTATAATAAATTCCAAATTAATCACATCACAATATCAATTAGGTGCTTATGACGCGTTATACATCAACAACAAACCCTGATACTATCATAGATATATAATAGTGTACTTTAGAATTTTAAAGTACCCATGAATAATGTTATACAATCACAACAAAATAACTGAAATAGATATTCTAGGTTTTTATTATGTAATTTTCAAATTTGAACTTAAAATGAATATAAAAATAAACTGTCCTTCTGTATATTTTAGATTTTTTGGTAACAGAATTAACTACTTACGTGGGATCCTGTTTTAAATTTCCAATCCTTAGATATAAAAGTTGAACATTTTATAAATTTTTAACTACAAAATAATTATTCAATTTTAAATTTGATAAATTTTGTCAAAATTTGATCTTTAAATGCTTATATAAAAAAATTGTGCCTATGTATATTTAATATTTTTCAACTGATATTGTAACAATATATCAGGTATACCTTGTAACAATATATCTTGTATTAAATTTTTACACTTTTTGGCCCAACAGATAAAACTTTATTGATATTTATAGAAAAAAAAACTAAAAAAATTGAAAACTGAAAATGTCCGTAAATAGCTCAAAAAGAGTCAAAATATTTTGAAAAGTTGATCAAATATAAGAATTGATAAAATAAACATTCAGTGAAATTTTCATGTATTAACAGTTATTCGTTTTTGAAAATAAGAAAATAAGAAAATCGCTACATGAGAAATTGAGTGAATATTGTAAAAATATGAAATTCGAACGCTCATAAAAATTTAATTTGATTTGCTAGAAAACATTTTTTTTATATTAATACTAAAATATTCAAATCACCATAGCCCCCATATCTTTTAAAACCATTAGGTAGGTACCATGAACACAAAGTTAAATAACTCAAAAACTAATAGTACGAATTTTGATTCTGATAAGTAAAAAATTTCAAAAAAATTATCCACTCTATAATTTACAGTTCAAAAGGGTTATTTTCATTTGAAAAATAGAAGTTTTTATCCCCACAGTACACTCCATTAGTAGTAAATGAAAATCTCATTTTTTTCAAAATATTATGGTCCTTAAGTAAATTTAAAAATTCAAAAAATAAGATTTTGAATAACTGAATTATTGAAGAAAAAAAGGGGGATCATGTTTGTTGAATCACCCTGTATAATAAAATTCCAAAAATCAGATTTTTTAGAACTGCATTATTGAAGAACAAAGAGGTTGATCGTGCTTGGTGAATCACCTTATTCATATAATTTGTGATAGGTAGTACATATTAAGTTTAATATTTCTCAATTTTCAAAAAAAAACCTTCATTGATTTTACTTTAACTTAACGAGTTTCTACTAACGAGGTTATTTTCTCGAAGCTACTGAAATAGTCCAGTACAATAGGACTATTTTAAATACATTTTGTGAAAAAATGTGCATATACAAAAAACAAATAAAAAATATATCTGTATAACTTAGTTTTTTATTAAAAGTTTTTTTTATTCACTTTAATAAACTTATTACGGATGACTAAATTTATAACCATTTTCATGTTTTATTAAAACCAATTATGTATAATAAATTAATAAGCACTACAAATATAATAATTATACAAATTATCGCTATTTATTTATTTTTTTATTTATTAAATTTCTAAAATTGTAGTGATTTATCTTGACTATTATGGGATATAAATATTACAATTTTGTTATCAATTACTAATAATATAATAATCGGCTACTTAAATAGTTGATGCTTCATTTATTTTTGAATTATTAGCTTAGAAAATCTTGTGCGTTTCTAATTACCTGTTCATGTATATGAGGCATGATTTAAAACATCGGTTGCACATGGTTTTTCTTTA